ATCACACCTACTAGAGTGTGTTGCCAAACATTTACTAGTGTTATTGTCGATTTGATGTCTACCTACCCACACCTCTTTGTGAACAGAAGCTGTCTATCCTCACCACTGTATCACCAATGCCAAGCATATACTGCCTGCTTAGAGAAGACCTCCTACAAATACTTGTTAAAACAGAAGCTGAAGTGTTAGAAAGGGTGTCAGGAAGGATGAAGACCTTAACTGGGCCTTAAAAGACAAAGAGATGCTACATTCTCAAAGTCAGGAGTAATATTCAGTTATTCAAAATGTCAGTCCAAAGAGTTGGGTACGTAGCTTAATGGCAGAGCACTTGCCTAGCATGTGCAAAGCCCTGGGTTTGATCCTCAGCAGTTTTTTTTTTTAATTCTTGCCAAAAGGCTTGGTCCAGAAAGCTCCTAGCTCTGCCAAGAGTTAACCTACTACTTGCTGGACTGTAGAGTGATCCAGGGTTCTTGGAGGATGGGGTGGGGCTGTCAGGAAAGTAGAGGGGCACTTGGGCTTTGGAGAACAGGCTATTTACCTATAAAAACAGACATGTTTCAGTATTTTAAGATGTTAATGCTACAGAGACAACCAGACTGAATCTTAGTCTGGAGTGAAAGAGAGCTTGGGCGCCTCCAACAAAGGCAGGGGAAGTGGAGTTAAGTTTGGCAGAGATAGAAGATTGTGAAGATATGATTCTGCCATTTTCTGGCTGAGGTATGCTTCCATGACCTCATGTGTAGCACAGAAATCAGAGTAGTAACCACTTCAAAAGGATCAAATGAGATAATATTTGCAAAGTCCTTACCACAAAAAAAGTTTGATAAATGCTACCTTATTATTATTATTACTATTTGAAGGTACTCAGTTTGAACTCAGGACCTTGCACTTGTTGGCAGGCACTCTAACACTTGAATTACACCTTCAACCCTTTTTGCTTTGGTTATTTTTCAAATAGGATCTAGTTTTTTTGCCCAGGAGCCAACCTCAGGTGGCAATCCTCCTACCTCTGCCCTCTACATAGCTGGGACTATAGATGTTCACTACCACCTCTGGCTTATTTGTTGAAAAGGGATCTCACTAAGTTTTTGCCCAGGCTGGCCTCAAACTATTGTCCTTCACTCTTCTCCTCCTGATAATAGCTACTTTTTTGACACTATGTCTCACTAGGTAACCCAGGCTGACCTCAAATTCATGATCCTCCTGCCTCAGTCTCTCAAGTAGCTGAGATGGTTGCCCCCATACCCAGCTTATTATTATTACTGTTAGTACTAGAAGTATTAAGTAGCAGCAGCAGCTACAATAGACGTAAAAGCGTTGTACAAAAGAACCTGAGATCTAGCCAATTTTGCCATAATCCAAGTGGTCTTGGACAACTCAACAACCAAAATTTTGATCAAAGCTTTGAATATATAAGAATGTTCTAAAGAACATTCTCTACATTTTCATCAGATTCTCAAAGGAATTAAAAATAAATAAAAAGTTCTATTATTAACCTTAAGTCTCCGAAAACAAATAATCTCATCCAATGTTAGGATAAATTATATTCTATCTTTATGATATTGGCCTTTATTTCAAAGACAGCCAAATTTATTTTGCATTTTCCTCTAAGAAAAAGCTGTTAATTTTAAATGTAGCACTCAATTTTATTAATATAGAACAATATAAATCACAGCACCAGTTCTTTTCAAATCTTAAGCTTTTATTTCAAACACTTAAACACAAAATTGTGACCAATACTCACAATATTAACAAGTGGAAATATTAAAATATAAAAAGGAAGTGTCGAAACTCATTTCCTTAAGCTGGGAAACATTTAACATGGAAATACAGGTCCTCTGCATCAAATAAATCCATTGCATCCTGGTACCTGAACTTCCCCTAAAGGAAAAATAAGTATGCTCTTGGAAACCATTAAACAAAATGTATGATTATTCTCAAGAAGCATAGAGTAAAGTGCAATTCCACAAAAAGAAAAATCTCAGCAAAAATTAATACTGAAGTGAAACATTAAGTAGATTCCTGTAGTTAAAGGGGAAAAAAGTGAAATGGGTACAAAGAATCTACTCTTACTTAAAAATCTCTTAGCAGAGAAAGAATGGAACATCTGTCATACAATAACTGAAGACACACACATCTACAGTCAAAACCCAGCTGCATTCAGATGATGGCCTGTTCCCCCCAACCACCAGTAGTTCCTACAAGTCCTACCTCCTACTTGTATGGAATTTAATTTTGTTTGATGTAATTCAATACTCACAATTTCAACCAAAAAATTCTTAATCTTCATCCATATTTTGTAAAAACAAATTGAGGCAAAGCTAAATTCAAGTTCACTTGGAAGAAAAAGACATTTCCTTACTGCTCTGGCATCTGTGTTCATGTTTATAAATCCCAAGGCATTTTTTAACCTCACACCAACCATTCATCAATTTTCATCAGCTACTATCACTGGTCCCTGCAGTGCACCTCAGTGGGTCGGCAGGAAAACTTGTAGAGGCAGGTTTTCAAGAGAGAAAAATGCATTGCACTTCTGAAGTCCCAAAACCCTCCATTCAGTGTGGTGAATTTCCCAGGAGTATGTGACTACATTTTCAATAGCATTGTTAAAATAAACACAAATATAAAATCAGGGTCTAGGTTATTGCCATCTCAACAACGAAGGCAAAAATAACCATAGGCCACTTTTCTACCTATTGAAATTCCTGTGACCAGATGTTCCAGGATTATTATAATGTGATCTGATTAAGGAATCACTGAAAAGGTTGTGCTATAAATCATGCTGTTAGTCACATGCTTTGGAAATAGTTCCTACAATGCTAGAAAAGGGGAATTTAATATTAGAAAGTATTTACAGCACAACCAATTGAGTAACAGAGTGGAAATGGGTTGGGAGGGGGAATCTACAAATCAGTGCCAGCATGCTTCAGAGAGCAGGAGGATTATGTGAATTTAGCTGCTTATTAGTGTGGGGACACACTGTAGGGATTAAGCAGGATGAAGGGAAGGGGTGGCTTGGAAAGCCCATGAGTTTCCAAAATGCAAAGCAAATAGTTTTCAAGAAAATTAATATTCATATACATACGTATATGTTTTTGACAACTAAATTATGAATGTGTTTGATAGTCTCCATATAAAAAGTAAGGAAAACTGTTATATTTTTAATGGAAAATACTGAGTTCAATCCCTGCAAAAGCACCAAACACATACCATTTAGGATAATGTCACTGATGCATGTTTGACAACTAAATTACAAAGCTCTTTGATATACTGTGTATGAAGAGTGGCAATTATGGCCAATAAAATGAAAGGAAGAAAAAAACTAATTAACACTAACATATCATTATGACTCACTAGCACATAAAATCCCTTGCCTGCTCTAAATTGCTAGCAACTGGCAAATCCCAAATTCCTAAGGATGTAGACAATAATTCCAAATAACTGGAGCCAACAGAGATTTCATGGACTCTTTAGAGGTTTAGTATTACTTTCTCATATCAAATGACCCACACATTCAAATTACTTAAAAACTTATCCACTCTTCCCCCCAAAAGATATAACTCACAGGATAATAAACTATACCAATATTAGTTGTGTCTACCAAATTAACTCTGATAATACCTTATAAGCAAAGATAGTGATTAATTTTGTGGCATACAGAATGTGAGATTTAGAAATAAAAAGCCTGGGTTCAAATTCAACATCAGGTATTGATTATCCCGGTAATTTTGGAAAAATCATTGAACCCTCCATCAAATGGGGACAATAACAATGACTACTCCCTAGAGTTGCCACAATGCAAAATAAATGTGAAAAAATCCAAAAGTGACACAAAATAAACAATGTACAAGTGTTAATTCCTTCACTATTTTATGAGTAGTCTCCATCTAAACTTAACAAGTAGAAAAAGTAAAAATTAACCTAGCTACTAAAATCTGAATACACTGAAAGTAAACTGATCATAATTGAAAGAATAACACACTGAATTTAGTAAAAACCTGCATTTAGTGAAAATTGACCCAGATTTCACATAGAGAAAATCTGACAGAAATTTTCAGCATGACATTAAATCTGTTTTAGGCAGTAAAGAACATGGATTTTTACAAGTCTCTATGACCTTGAGTTTGTATGAAAAAGAACGTATAGACTCTAAATTACTTGAAATTAAAAAATAAAAACACCTAATCAAACTTGGCTACTAATAAATAAGTAAACATATATTATGAGATTTAAAAGCTTGCTGTAGCTAAGAGGTGTATTCTCTAACTTCCTTACTGTAAACTTCAGGACGGTAGATGACCCCCAAAAAACTCTGAAGGTGACAATAGAAATACTGTTTAAACTTAAAAAGGAGATGATTTTCTGAAACTTTTCTTGGTGGAAGTTATTTCTACATAAATGTACCAAATGAGAAAATGCATCGAGAGCTTGTTGTAAAGGTCATTGTGACATACAAATCTAAGATATTGTTAGAGAAACTTAAAAAGTTCTTTTGAATCTTGTAGAATAAATCAAGAATGTGAAATTTATAAAATAAAGAATCCTACAAGAAATGTAATAGAAAAAAAAAACATTTTATCTCAATACAAAATGTAACAAATTGAGGGGAAAAAAAGACAACCTCAAGACAAATTCCTTTCCTGTTCTCACTGGCTGTTCTTTGACAACCTTGGCTTTGATTTTCATGACACTCAGTCGCATACACACACATATCTTTGTTCATCTCTAGTCCCCCGCAGTTACTTCTGATCTGTGCTATTGAGCTTTCAAATAACTGATTTCTCCTGTTGCTTTTCTGAGCTCACTAAATGGCTCAGACAATCAGCTCATCAGTTATCTATTCCTGACCTGGTTACAGCACCTGTGGCCTCTCACTCCAACTTGCCACCTCTTGGGTGGTGAAGCCCCACACATGGAAGTGAAGGGTGCTGAGAGAAGACCTCACTGCAACCCAAAGGAAAATTCATTTGCAAAAACCAACTCCTAAGTGGTTGCCCTACTTAAAACTCCATTGAATCTTGGCTTTCCAGAGAGTCCTCTATGTCTAATGGGTCCCCTGTGATTGCCTTTGAGTTCATGGTAAACCCAGAGGTTTTTAAAGCTTTATGAGCATTCATAAACTTCTGGAGATATTTAGAGGTATACAACCAGTGATGTTTCAGGACATCTTCCATTTCATAGCACTTGGATTGCCTGGCATTCATTTTCCGGAAACGCCTGAACAGTTTGTTACCAGACTCATTTCCCTCACTCGCCCATGCTCCAATAGAGCCATCCCTCTCAATAATTTCAGGGACATGTGCCAAGGTTTTGTGAAAATAATTGGTGATTTTTCCCTCATATCTATACTTGAACTTGGTAGAGAGGAGCTCAGCAAAACGCTGTGAGTTAAAACTATACTGGCAGAGAGACTCTGGGCACTCTTTAGCTGGGCATGATGAGCGCCACACAGGTTTCATTTTCAGGTAAAGGTCCATCAGCTCTCTGAGAGCTTCATGCCTCTCCTTAGAAGGAATTAACTCACAAACTGCCTCAACAGTCTCTTTGGTCATAAGCTTCCTGGCAAAGTTGCCATTCATCCTCATGATTGGTTTTAGGTTCATCTTCTTCCGGAGATGCTTGTCCAGTGTCACCTGCCATCTTTTCCTTTCCTCTTTGGAGGCACTGGGATTTTTATACACCTCTCCTATCTCTAGCTGGAAAATCTTGTAGAACTCTGCTGCATTGCCAATGTCACAGTGAAGTGCATCTATAGAAGGGACTGTCTCAATGAAAGGTTTGGCCGAGACTCCTTTCACTCGATCCCGCAGTTCTTCCACTGACTCATGGAATGGGTTGGAACGCCAGACCTCATAGCGCTCCAAGTTCTCAGCGTGGCTTCTGGTTATGGAGTGGAAGACAAGATTCTGAGAAGCTTCCAGGCGGGTGGCATCACAAAGTGTACAAATGTAGACTGAGCCAGAAGCCTCCAGGCCTTCTACTTCCCGGACAAGTTTTTCATCATATCCAGTGCCCCTGAAGATGAACTTGAAAGTCCTAAGGATACCTCCCATCTCAAGCATCAATTCACTGTTCTTCATGGCCTCCCTCTCTGCAATGAGAGGGCTGAGGATGGCAGTCAGGGTCTCATGATCAGACTCATCCGCCAGCATAAGACACAATGGCTTGCAACACAATTCAGAGTTTGGTTTGGTTTCCTCAAACACCTTCACATTCTGGGAGCCATGCACTATGGTGATATTCATGACTGTGAATGAAAAACGAACTGCCTTTTCTGGAACTGCTGGGCCACTCCCGTGCTTCTCGCTCACATCTCCCATTCCATCGCAAGACTCCTTCACCACTACAGTGAAAGGGCCATTCAGGTAGTCATCAAGGTCTTGGGATCTCATGCCTTCCAAGATGTCTTCTTCCATGTCCATCAAAGCAGACACCAAAGCAGAATCATAGCGGAACCTCTTTGCAATGGTGTCCACTGGGTAATCATCCACAGAAGAGGAAAGTCCAGACAGCCCATCGATGATGCCAACATCAGTGCTGGAGGACACATTCTTCAGAGGTGGCTGCCACTCAAAAGGATGGTAGCCTGGCAGAAGGACCTTCTCAGCATTTCGAAGGGCATGCAATGGCTGAAAAATCTGCCTCCCTGTGATGGCTTTCACCGTCCTGTACATCTTGTGGTACTGACTACAGCTGAGGAACGTGTTAACACGGATGGCCAAGCAAACAGCTGGCTGCAGGCCAGAGCCCCGTCCCTGCATGATAGCCTCCAGCTCATTGGCTTGTCTGTGTTCATTCCTTGCCCTCAGTGCCAGCAGGAACAAGGTCAAGCATACAGACTTCACATCTCCACCTTCTTCTTTGTCAGCAAATGCCTTGACCTGCTGCTTGAGCTCCCTCAACCGGTACTTCTGAGCTCTCCGGGTCAGTGACAAGAGATGTTGACGAGGCCGGCCCCCTTTATTGATATGCACAAAAGTCTCTTTGGATTCCTTGTGACTTGAGACATGGTGATTATACTTTTCCAAACTGACTTCCTCATTGCACTCTTTTGCTGGACATTTTACCATCAGGGAATTCAGGATGCTCAGAAAGGATTTCACCGGACTCTCCAGGTCAGTTGGGAAGCATGGATATCGGCAAGAGGGACAATAGCTGCCTATGACTTTGAGGCATCTGAGAATGCAGACCCTGCAAAATACATGCTTACAGCTGGTCTCCACAGGGTCAGCCAGAATGTGCTCACAAATCTGGCACGAGATAGACTTCACAAAGTGTGCTGGGAAGTCCACTGTCAGAAGCTTGGTACTGAGATGTATCTTATTGCAGTCAGCAATCTTCTTCATGACTTCCTTGCTGCTGACACTTGCCTGAGCTCTTCTCTTGTGTTGACGGACTTGCTTCGCTCGGTCAAGCATAATTTTGATTTTTTTGCTGAGCTGCACATTTGTCTCATGTCTCTTCCTCTTGAGTCCCTGCTGGGCAGTGTGGCAGATGTCACAGGATGGCGTGTGTGGGCGCCATTCCACGGTTGCATTCCTTGGGAAGTAAACCTCACATGGGGCACTGCTAAACTTCCTATACATGATGCTCCAGCAGTTATGGCAGAATTCAGTGGGGTGGATTGAGTCAACATCTGCCTTCACATCAATCCGGAAAACCCTGGCAATGAGGTCTGGCCAGGAAGTGGCTCTCTTTTCCTTCTTCCTCAATAGGCCTTGGGTTTTAGCATCCACAGGCCCATGGACTGGGTATCTCCTCTTGTGTTCATTAATTTTAAAAGGATTTCCACAGATGCGGCAGAAGTGTCGAAGTTTGGCTTGGTGAATTGCTTTGTCTCTTGCTTTCCCATTGTCATGAGATCGCTTTGAAAACTTTGGGTGAACCTTCAAGGCTGGCTGAGGCAGGACTGACTTCTGATCCCCAGCCGTATCCAGAACTGCTGGAGATTGCTCTAGAGAGGGTTTCCCCTCAGAGGAATCTTTCTTCTCTTTTTGAGATTCTTCAGGTGGCTTTTCAAAGGATCTCACTCTGAATAGCTTAAATTTCCATTCTGAAAACTTAATATGTGGGTGTTGAATTTCATCAGGGGCAGAACTGAGTCCCAAGGTGGGTGGCAAGGAGACAGCCATGCTGGCTGAGGTACCTGGGGACAGTGAAAACAAGTCACATTAGGAAAAATGTCAGTATCCCAGTGATATGGCTTCAAAGTCATAAAAAATTGATACATTCAATTATACATTCATTAATTCTTTCAAAAATTATTTATTAATTCTCTTATTTTAATATATCATGTTATGTACTAATCACACAGCAAGAATACTCACTCCCTGTTCTGACAGGCAGAATATTTATACCACATATATGTATAATTTCAAACTATCTGTGTATATGCAATTTAATTCCTTCCACAGAAACCTTAACATCTTTAAAGACAGAATCTTTGAGTGATTGATGTTCATCTCCCCAAGGTTCCCAGTACACATTAGATACTCATTAGTTATTTGTGAGTAAATGCAAAGATAAACTGGCTACTAAACCAAAGAAAAACAATATTTTCCACATTGTATTAGCCTCATTTCACTAGCTGGACAATATATTTCTGGCTTTTTAAAGCAGTCTTCTGGGATGTTGGTTGTTTATTTCTTCCAAACGGGTCATAAAGGGATGATAAAGCTACAAACCCAAAGAAACTAATTACTCACTACTTGAAAGGATGAAGTGAATTTTGAGGTTTATGGATGCAAACTAATAATAAGTATCATGGATAGTAATTATGCTTATAATTTTAATTAGTGAATGCTGCTGTAAATTAAAAGGCTGTGTCTACATTAGAAAAAATCCACAGAGCTCTAAACTTGAAACAAACCATAGTGCGTACACACTAAGATGTCAAAGGACTTTTAAGATGAAAAATTCTAGCAGTTTCAGATTAAAACTCACACAGGTCATCCTGCAAGTCATTGCAGGTCAATGATCACTAGCACCGCAGTGCTCATGGTTTTCTTCTGGTAAAAAAAAATATTGCATATACCAAGGAACCCTATCAAACTCGGTTGTAGTATACGTGTGAACAGGAATGTAGAAAAAGGTCTAACAATGCCATCTGAGTACTCTCCGGAGCCACTTAGACCAATCTTCCCAAAATTTACTAGTACATAGTTGGAAACAGACTTGGTATTTTCAATATACCATCCATACTTCCCAAATTTGTTTGGTTAACTCTTTTGGCCTACCAATTATATCAAGCAACATATGTTTTTCCCTCAATTGATTAACCAAGTAGATGAGATTTTTATAATCACATTGTCATGAAATAAACTCTCAGATGAACACCTTTTGACCTGGGTTGGAATTTGGGTGACTGGGAGAAAGTGAGGGTGGCAAGGACTAATCCTGACTCCTAGTACCAAATTTCCTTTTCAATTCTTCCCTTTAAACCTGAAGTTTATTCCATCTTATATGCATTATGCATCAGAGATTAGTGTTTTTCATTAAAAGTACTTTCTAAGACTTGGTTGAAAGGGAAATACAGTTGGGTTCTTCATTACGAGGACTGTGTGTGAGTTAAACAATTCCAAACTGTTTCAAAGCTCTCAGAAACCTCAAAGGCATTTCAAGTGAAACCCAACAAACACCTCAAAGTTGCTTATGGTTCAATTTTGTTTCCTAGTTCTCTCCTGTGACCATGCTAAGTCATTCCTTATCTCTCTTGTCTCTATGGCTTAAACTCCAGCTCAAATGCCTTTTTTATTCCTTTAGCATTCACTTCCCAGTCTTTTCTAAAACATTTGTCCTTGGCATTCAAAGATGATATTTTGAGTAGTTGTTTAAAGAAAAAAAAAAAGAATGCATGAACATTTCTGGAATTCATCAAGTTAAATATTGACCTTTCACATTGAGCAAGTTGAGCACATGCCCAGAACCCCTAGAACTATCTCCCCTCCCTACATATTCCTCCCCTGACTCCCACTGGCCTGAAATATTATGCCAAAATCCACCAAACCACATTTGTTTCGTGTCATCACCAATAGTTGTTAGCCAATGATATCCAAATTGAATGTATTTGTTAGTTTTCCAACTCAACTCCTAAAAGTTTATCCAAATTAGGAACGAGAAGAGGTGGCCAGATGTGTTATATTTTTAGGGGAATATATATTAAGATTCTAGTGGTTGGTATTTGTGAAAGCTACACATATTTTATACTTTTTTATCCTTATATGTGATTTTCACTCTTTAAAATAAATATGTATTACTTTTGAAGGAAGATAAAACATTTAAGAACCAGATTTAGTGAGGTATTGTCATCTATCCAATTAACAAAGATCAAAACTATGATGCTACTCAATATTAATGAAGTCATTGAGAAATTAAGAAATCTCCATACATTCTTGGAAAGAGTGCAAATTGGTATAAAATGTCTATTAGACACTTCAGTAATGTCTTTTAAAAGTTAAAATATATTATCTTTGCTGCAATAAAACTCCTTTTGAGAAGATATTCTATACAGTGATATTCATATGAAGACAAGAGATTTGTTTGACAAGATATTGTTACCTTGAAAAATAGGAAATAATATAATTATCAGAAGAGCGTTATTAAATACACTATGATCCAGACACACAATAGAAAATTGCACATAAAATTAAATTTCTATATGCATTATTCATATATGTAATTTCTATACGTATCAGTGACAGAAAGCTCACATAAATTAAAGCAGAGGGCAAAACAACAATAACCTGTGTAGTAGGACCTTGTTTGTGCACCTAAGATTCAGGCTTGTGTTCACACCAAAGTACAGAAATTCTAGAAGGACATGCACTAAAATCTTAACAGTGTTTAATCACTGGAAAATACAACTAGCACTAATAAGAGGGTTTCTTTTCATTTGAATTTTTACAACACTTGCATTTTTAAAATTTTGTGATCAATTCATTTTGGATTAAAAAATCTTTTAAAGACTCCATGTATACGTACCCACATTCACTTTTCCATCATTTATTCTTAAATTTCCTCCCAGAAAAGTTTAAAACCTGGCTAAATTTCAAATCTGACCATAATCATTAGATTATCTTTCTTCTCTATTAAGCATGTAGAAAAGGGACTGAAAATATCAACCACAAAGACAGCATGAAGTTAGAATTATGCAAGAGTGATCTTGTATTCATGCTTTGACACCCAGAATTTTGCAAATGCCTAATCTCCTGTTTGGTTGGTTGGTTTTTGGTACTGGGGTTTGAACTCAGGATTTCATGCTAGTGAGGTAGGCACTCTACGGCTTGAGCCATGCTTCCAGCATGACGGATGTGTATCACCATGTCCAACTTTTTTCCATTGAGATGGAGTCTCACAAACTATTTTGCCCGGGCTGGCCTTAACCTGTGATCTTCCTGATCTCAGCCTCCCACATAGCTTGGGATGACAGGCATATGTCACTACTGAGGCACACTCAGCTATTGGTTAACAGGAGGTCTTGCAAACTTTTTACCTGGGCTGGACTTGAACCAAGATTCTCCTGATTTCAGCTTCCCAAGCAATCTCCTCTCTTATAACAAAGGTCTCAGTTGTAGACCAACCTCAGCATCTAAAAGGCTAAGGGGCTGGTGCTGGCTCAACCCTATCCCCACAGACACTGTCAACTCAGCATTGCCTTTGTCTGCCATCATGGGTGCATGGGTCCCTTCCTCCACAGTACATGGACTCATGTTGGTAAACCAGCCTGAGGTGGCTTGGAGCAGGCAAAGCTGTAGTTTGTAGTGAGTGTGATTGTTAGTTACCTTAGGAAGCTAGACCACAACAGCAGCACCACTGCCCATTTTCCTCTCATCCTCCCACTCTATAACATATACATTCTACTACTTGGCTCACTGTCTGCTCTCTGAACATCTTCATTCTCATCTAAGCAAGTTGTGAGCAACCATGTGTACCCAAGTGCCACAGATTGCCCAGATGTGTGGAGTGCCAAGAGTCATTTCACAAATACTATTGCCTACCCTTTGCCACACACCATTCATCACAACACTGATAGCATCAAAATCCTTTTTATAAGTCTCAGGCATCCACAAAATGAGTGAAAGATGCTTACCCTTCCTTCATGCAACTTCTACCTTGAACCACTTTAGATGGAAGTCTACAGTCACAGCCCTGGTCATGAATTCCAACTCGAGAACATAACCTCAAGCAGAGTCTCTTCCACAGAAATTCTCAAAATTAATACGAATCACGGTCACTAGGGAGATTGTCTTCCCAAAATTCAGATCATTAGAGGTCCAAAAATTGAATTAAAACAAGCATTCCAGTGATCTTGGTGTAATTGGCACCCAAGTCACATTTTCAAAACCTCAGGCCTTCTCCTTAATCCACCCAAGTTCATGAAATGCCTGGAATCCTGGTAATACCAAGGAAGCCACACATTTCCTCCAGCCCTGGAATTTCTTTGTTCCTGATTACTTTTCTTGTCTGTACTACCAGTATTTCTTCCCGAGCCTCACATCTTTCTCTGCGCTGATTCGTCTACATTCATTCAAGAAGTTCTCTTTCAATCCTCCTTCTGCAATAGCATTCATTTATAGTAACTTAGGTATATTACATTTTTTCTATGAGCCTTTAGTGTCTCTAAGATTGACCTCTTGTAACTTTTCTATTTTCATTCATTTCAAAGAAAAACAAAATTGATGTCAATTTCCTTCATTCCCTCCCCTCATTGCCTGCTAGGGAAAAAAGCTGGAGTAGTTCTGATTAGAAATATAAAAAGACAATAAATATTTTTGGCTCAGGGCTTAAGAAATACAAATGTTACCTTGCTCAGCAGGCTGCCTGGCCAAAGTGTTGGAATGTCTGCAATTTGGTTGATATTACTCAGTACCACAGAGAAGATGAAGGGTGTTCTCTGCTCCCTCCTTGCTCTATTGGCCCTCTGTACATACTGCTGCATTATTTATCAGCCCCCATGGTCCTTCCCAGCCTCTCCCACCACAGAGAACTAACCACAAATGATGGCAGCCAATCACAAGCCTGGAGCCCCCCCTCCCAGCTCCAGCTGGCACCTGGCTCTTCAGGAAGCTTAGCTGGGGGACCTGAGTGTGCAACCGTGCATGAATATGGCTACCAGTTCAGTTCCCAAGAATGT